TTTATGAGAGAATTAGAATAAAAATTGGTGTATTATCAGTATCTCCATCCTCATTCCAACTTCCACAATTAGCATCCAAAAACAGTAAGATAGTTTGCATTTGTGAGGAATAGTACATAAGCAATTCACCTTCTTTTTTTTTTTTTGGTACTGCATTCCCAGCCCTTTTTATTTTTTATTTTGAGACAGGGTGTCACTGAATTACTTAAGGCCTCCCTAAATTGCTCAAGCTGGTTGGAATCCTCCTGCCTCAGCCTCCTGAGTCACTGGGATTTCAGGCGTGTGCTGGCATATCCAGCAACAATCAATTCACCTCTATTATTATTATTATTATCATCATCATCATTATTTTGGACAGAAAATGCATAGATTTAATGAAGCTGAAAATAACAGTCCATAAAGTAGAATGAATATACTCAGTAGAGCAGAGTAGGCCAGGTGTGGGCAGAGAGAGGGAGACTGGCTCCAGGCCACCAATTTACCTCTTAAAGGAAAATATGCTGAAATGCAAATTTATAATCCAGTAAGAGTACCTAAATTAGTTACTTCAAAAAAAAAAAAAAAAGAGAGAGAGAGAGAGAGAGAGAGATTCTTAACTTGTGGTGGTTCACGCCTGTAGGTCCAACTACTGTTAAGGCTGAGGCAAGAGGATCCCAAGTTCCAGACTAGCCTGGGCAATTTAGGGGACTATCCCAAAATAAATAAAAAAGGCTGGGGATGTAGTTCAGCGGTAGAGTGTCTGCTTATGATGCATGAGGCTCTGGGTTCAATTCCCAGTACTGAGAAGGAGAGAAAAAAGAATTAATTCTTTGCTCTATGGAAGGATTTTCTATAAGGAATATATAGGGGTTTCCTTGCCAGGTAAGGTGTCATATGCTAAGGCAGGAAGATCACAGGTTCAAGGCCAGCCTCAGCAATTTACAAAGGCCCTAAGCTCCAAAAATAAAAAAGGGCTCCGGATGTAGCTCAGTGGTAAAATACCCCTGGGTTCAATCCCTAGTATCAAAAAGAGCAGCAGGGCTGGGATTGTGGCTCAGTGGTAGAGTGCTTGCCTAGCATGCATGAGGCACTGGGTTCGATCCTTAGAATCACATAAATGTAAGATAAAGATATTGTATCCACCTAAATTAAAAAATAAATATTAAAAAACAAAACAGCAACAACAAAAAAAGAGGGATTTCCTTAAGTTCTTTTTTTTTTTAATGTGTGTGTGTGTGTGGTACTGGGGATTGAACCCAGGTCCTGTGCATGAAGCAAGCACTCTATTAAATGAGCTATATCCCCAGTCCCTCCTTAAGTATTTTACAGTCAGGTACTCAACCACTGAGCCATATTCCCAGGCAGAGTCTCACTGAGTTGTTTAGTGTCTTGCTATTGCTGAGGCTGGCTTTGAACTCAAAATCCTCCTGTCTCAGTCTCCCCAGCCTCTGGGATTACAGACTTGTATCACCGCGCCCAGTGATAACTGACTTCTTCTTTTTTTATATTTTTTTTATAGTTTTGTATGGACAGCATGCCTTTATTTGTTTAGTTTTTTTTTTTTTTTTTTAATGGGTTTTTTTTTTTTTTATGTGATACTGAGGGTCAAACCCAGTGCCTCACACATGCTAGGCAAGCGCTCTGCCACTAAGCTACAACCTCAGCCCCTGACTTCTTTTTTTTTGTGTGTGTGTGTGTGTGTGGTGTTGGGGATTAAACCCTGAGCATTGTGCATGCAAGGCAAGCACTCTACCAATTGAGCTATATCCCCAGCCCTGATAACTGATTTCTTTTTATATATATATATATATATATTTTTTTTTTTTTTGTTATCGTTGGACACAATATCTTTATTCCATTCATTTATTTTTATGTGGTGCTGAGGATCAAATCCAAAGCCCCACATGTGCTAGGCGAGCGCTCTACCACTGAGCCACAATCCCAGCCCCGATAACTGATTTCTTGATAGAATAAAAGCTGAAAAAAATCTTTAAAGCCTGGGGTTGTTGCTCAGTGGCAGAGCACTTGCCTCTTACATGTTAGGCACTGGGTTTGACCCTCGGTATCACATAAAAATAAATAAACTGGACTGGGGTTGTGGCTCAGCGGTAAAGTGCTCATCTAGCATGTGCAAGACCCTTCGTTCGATCCTCAGCACCACATGTAAAATAAATAAAATAAAGGTATTGTATCCAACTACAACGAAGAAATAAATGGATATTTTAAAAAAATAAAATAAAGATATTGTGTCCATGTATAACTAAAAAAATATTTTAAAAAGATCTTTAAGCATAGGTAGTGAAAAAATTTAAAAATTAACAGTAAGTTTTAGAGCTGGAGATACACCCAGTTGGAAAGGGCTTGCCTGGCATTTATAAAGCCCTGGGTTGAATCCCTAGCACAGTCAAACAAACAAGGCATTTTTATTTTTATTTATTTATTAATTTTTAAAAAATAAATGACAGCAGAATGCATTAAAATTCTTATTACACATATAGACCACAATTTTTCATATCTCTGGTTATATATAAAGTATGTTCACACCAATTCCTGTCTTCATACATGTACTTCGAATAATGATGTCTATCACATTCTACCATCCTTGTTAACCCCCTGCCTGCTCCCTTCCCCTTCTACTCCTCTGTCCTATCTTGAGTTCATTTATTCCTCCCATGCTCCCCCTCCCTACCCCACTATGAGTCAGGCACCTTATATCAGAGAAAACATTCAGCAATTATTTTTTGTGGATTGGCTAACTTCACTTAGCATTATCTTCTCCAACGAACAGGGCCTTTTTAAAGAAGGTAAGTGTATTAGAGTCTAGTTGGAAGTCAAGTTGCATGGTGATCTGTATAACAACAATATAATTTTGTATACATGTAATTTCTAAATTTCTAAAATATATAACATCAATAAATATATGTGTATTGTTTATTTAAAAATTGTTAAATCAAGCTCGGCACAGTGATGCATGAGTGTAATCCCAGCAACTTGGAAGAGTGAAGCAAGAGGATCACAAGTTCAAGGCTAACCTGAGCAATTTAGCAAGATCTTGTCTCAAAAATTAAAAAATAAGTGCTGGAGCTGGGTATAATGGCACACACCTGTAATCCCAGGGACTAGGGAGGCTGAGACAGTAGGATTCTAAATTGAAGGCCAATCTCAGAAATTTCGCCAGGCTGTAAGCAACTCAGTCAGACCCTGGCTCAAAATAAAAGAATTGAAAGGAGTGGGGATGTAACTCAGTGGTAAAACACCCCTGGGTTCCATCTGGAGTATAAACAAACAAAAACAGATGCCAGGCATGTGGCTCACAGCAGTAATCCCAGCAACTCTGGAGGCTAAGATAGGAAGGCCATAAGTTTGAGGACAGCCTCAGCAGTTTAGTAAGACCCTCAGTAACTTAATGAAACCCTGTCTTAAAATAAAAAGGACTCGGGCTGGGGATGTGGCTCAAGCGGTAGCGCGCTCGCCTGGCATGCGTGCGGCCCGGGTTCGATCCTCAGCACTACATACAAACAACAGGTTGTGTCCGCCGAAAAAACTAAAAGATAAATATTAAAAATTCTCTCTCTCTCTAAATAAAAAATAAAAAGGACTCGGGCTGTGGCTGTGGCTCAGTGGTAGTGCACTTGCCTGGCATGTGTGATGCACTGGGTTTGACGCACCACATATAAATAAGGGACAAAAACATTCATTTTTAAAAAATAAGTAAAAAGGACTGGGTATATAACTCAGTGATAAAGCACCCTGGGTTCAATCCCTAGTGCTAAATTAATTAATTAATAGATTAAAAAGGGTTTGGGGTTTAGTTCAATGATAAAGTATCCATGAGTTTGACTCCCACTACTGCCAAAAAAAAAAAAATATATAGGATTAGCCAATATAGAAAGCGGCAACAACTTTTATAATGACAAAGCTTAATCTCATGCCAGCTAACAGAAAGTGTTTATAGCGTCCAGCTCTAGCTTTGACACGGGGTAAAGAATGGCATATCTGCAGCTAAAAGGCAAGAAATCCATAATACATAATCAGTATCTCCAAAATTATAGTGAAAGTCAGAATGCACTTCATTTTATAAAATTTAGATTTCTACCACTGTTGAGCAACTCTTTTGGTTCATAAAGTTAGTCATGCCCTGTTGCCAAATCTAATATGCTTTCCTTATAGAACTAAGCTGTGAGAATAACACACAGATATAAGAGTAAAAGGGTGTTTTTAAAACAGCTCATCATGTATTAACTAAAGTCGATAATTATTATTTTTAATATTAATCCATTTTACTTCCAGTTTGACATTCAGTATGTGGAACTTGAGGCTTTTACCTGTCCTTACACTAGTGGTCAGTCCTATTCTTCTCATCTATCTAGCTAGTGAACAGAGGTAGTATGGTAGAACAAAGGGCAGGAAAAGTCGGCTCCATTAACCATTGCTTAGGTTGGGTCAGGCATGCTTTCAAGACTTCTAACCAGAGTCTGGAATAGCCAGCCTAAGGAGTGGGCAGCAATTGTGGCATGTTGACCACTAATATTCAGCATTGGCATTACCAAGAGAATGATCAAATGAGGTGCATGTAGTAGCCAGAGTATATCAACATAATCTACTTCAAAGGAAACACTTTTTAGATCTTAAAAGAGGTGGGGTTGTTTTGTTTTGTTTTGTTTTGAACTGGGGATTGAACCTAGGGACGCTTAACCACTGAACCACATCCCCAGCTCTTTTTACTTTTTTTATTTTGAGATAGGGTCTAACTAAGTTCCTTAGGGCCTTGCTAAATTGCGGAGCTGGCTTTAGAAACAATCTTCGTACCTCAGCCTCCTGAGCTGCTGGTATTACAGGCGTGTGCCCAGCTTAAAAAGAGTTTTTAACTCTGTGGTAAATGTTTTACATCAGTTTGGATTGGAGAACAAGATTAAGGACATTAGATTGAAAAGCTAAACTTTTGATTTAATAAGCTATTTTTTAGTGTGCCTCAATTTATTCTCTCCACTGTACCTCATTTGCCTTTTTTACTAAAATAGGTGACCCCCATGCCTCAACAGTACAATTCTCAAATTCTACCACCTCAGTGCTGGCCACCCTTGCAGCCCTTGCTGAGGCATCAGCCCCCCTCTCCAATTCACACAGAGCCACAGGTAGGTAAGGGATGTCTGCTGGATGAATTACCATTTCTACTTTGGTTTTTAAATCTCCAGCAGATTTAATTTGCATGAAATATATTAAAGAATTGTAATTAATTAGAAGCACTTAAGAAAATGGATATATAGACATTTAGTATGTTCCACATACTGAATGTCACAGAACATCAGAAGGAAAATTATTGAGATATTTTCAGATAACTGAGTAATACCAATGACTGAATTCTTCCTTTGTATTTTTACAGCTTGAAGTTTGCCCTGATTCCACTTGATTCAGGTTGAAATGTTTAGTTTTGTATTAGCAGACTTTTAAAAGTTATTGTTATGTTTTGACTGATGCCATCATAGAATGATTCAAAATAGCAGCTAGATATCTTGTACTAAAGTATCAAAATTCATGGGACTGCTACCTTTTTTATCATCATATCCTGTGTACTTAAGCTAGGATTGCTTTATTTTTACTGGAGATATTGATATTGCTTTGGCATTTCCAATGTTGTTGTTGTAATACTGGAGATTGAACCCAGGAATGTTCTACTTTGTATTAGCTACCTTCCCAGTCCTTTTATTCCCCCAGTCCTTTTTTAAATTTTATTTTGAGACAGGGTCTCACTAAATTGCTGAGGCTGATCTTGAACTTGTGATCCTCCTGCCTCAGCCTCCCAAATCTCAGGCACATACCACTGTGCCTGACACTGTACCCTTCTGATACTTAAAAAGAGTTTTCAAGTCACTTAATCAGACCAAGTGGTCTACAAAGGGAGAAGTCTTAGGGTTTACATTTGGGTAGTGAGAACATTCCTCCAATTCAGTCCTGTTTTCTGACTGATAGTATTCATAAACATATCTCCTCAGACATGTATGAGAGAGTGGTACAGCAGAGGGAAAAGCATTATATATATGGGTTTTTTTTTTTTTTTTGGGGGGGGGGGGGGGGGTTCCAGGGATTGAACTCAGGGGCACTCAGCCACTGAGCCACATCCCCAGCCCTGTTTTGTATTTTATTTAGACAGGGTCTCACTGAGTTGCTTAGTGCCTCACTTTTGCTGAGGCTGGCTTTGAACTCTCATTCCTCCTGCCTCAGTCTCCCAAGCCACTGGGATTATAGGCATTTGCCACTATGCCCAGCCTAAAAACATTATATTAAACTCATTCTTGCTAATCTTTTGTTTTGTTCTTGGATCTTGATAAATCATTGTACTTTTCCAGGTCTTTAGTTCCTTTCAGCTCTAACATTTAACTATTCTTTGTTTCTAAGAGATGTGCATGATATATTTGCATTCTTCCTAAATGTATCTTATATGGGTGGTTCATATCCCACTTATTATTGCAGGATTCTACCTGTGACTCTTTAGATCGAGAAATGTCATAATGACAGGAATTATTTCCCCTAATAGTGATTAGGGATATTGATTAATCAGACTGAAAATCTTTTTTTTTTTTTCTTTCCTGGTACTCTACCACTGAACTACATACCTAGCCATGTTTATTTTTTATTATGAGACAGGGTCTTGTTAAGCTTCTTAGGGCCTCACTGAATCCTTGAGACTGGGATTACAGGAATCTGCTACCATGTCTAGCCCGTAGCCCTTTTACTTTTATTTTGAAACAAGGTCTTGCTAAGTTGCTGAGGCTGTCATCAAATATACAATCCTTGTGCCTCAGCCTCCAGAACAGCAGGGATTACAGGTGTACACCAACCACTATGTCCTGCTAAGACTGAAAATCTTGATTCAACATAACGCATGTAAAACTCTTAGACTGGTAGCTGGCACATAAAGTAGTCAGTAAATGTTAGCTCTTGTTGATCTATCAGATGGGAGAAAATACCTGTCATACAGTTTGTTTACTATCTTCAATACTTTGACTACTTATGCTCACAAAGGGCTGGTGATGTAGCTAAGTGGAGGAGCACAACCCTAGCATGTGCAGGCCCTAAACTCTAGTACGACCAAAAGAAAAGAAAAAAAGATTCTCACTAAAAAAGGGTTCCAAGAGTCGGTTGCAGTGGACCATACCTATATTCCTAGCAACTCAGGAGACTAAAGAGGCCCACATGTATATTATTGGCAGCTCAGGAGGATCACAAATTCAAGGTTACTTAGCGAGACCCTATCTCAAAATAAAAGCTGGAGATATAGCTCAGTGGCAGAGCACCTCTGGGTTTGATTCACTGTATAAAGAAAAAAAAAAGGTTCTAAGCCTGGCACAGTGACCCAGCAGGGTGAGTCAGGAAGATTGCAAGTTTAAGGTCAGTGTTGGCAACTTAGTAAAATCCTGTCTTAAATAAAAAACAAAATGGGCTAGGGATGTTGCTTATTGGTAAAGTACCTCTGGGTTCAATCCCCAGTGTAAAAAAGAAAACAGAGAAGAAAAAAAAAATGGATTCCAAATATATTGGTTAAAATCACCATAATTTATACACTATAAGAAAACCACAATGCTCATTAGCCTATTAAAGCCTCTGATACTTAGTACAAAATAAACAAAAAAGTTCAAACATATTAACATTTTATACATAGAAATCATCTTTATTGAAAGCTACTAATAAACTTAATAAAAACACTGTAGAAAATACTATTTTAAACCATATGCCATGGCCCACAACTGTAACCCCAACAACACAGGAGACTGAGGCAGGAGGATCTCAAGTTCAAGGCCAGCCTCAGCAATTTATCAAGGCCTTAAGCAACTTAGTGAGATTCTATTTCAAAATAAAAAGGGATGGGGTGCTGAGGTTGTGGCTCAGTGGTAATAGCACTTGCCTAAGCATGAGTGAGGCACTGGATTCAATCCTCAGCACCATATTTTAAAAAGCAGGGATGTGGGGTGGGGGCTGGAGATGTAGCTCAGTGGTAAAGCACCCTGGGTTCAATTCACAGTACCCAAAAAAAAAAAAAAAAACTATTCTAGTGCATTCTCTATTTTCTTTTCTCCTCTGACTTCACATTATCCACAAAAACTTCTGTGATCATTGAGCCCAGCCTAACTTTTTTTTCTTTTGCAGTTTTCTCCCTTCCTTAATAATATCAGTTTCAAGGAGGATGAAATTGTTATACTCCTGTTTTGAAAAAGCTGAAATTTTACTTTTATTATTTCTAGCCAATTCAGAGGAAATCGTGCAGGGAAATTCTGTTGACTCATCAATCCAGCAAGTGGTGGGGAGTGGAGGCCAGAGAGTCATCACCATAGTAACTGATGGAGTCCCTTTGGGTAATATCCAAACTGCAATCCCTACTGGAGCCATTGGCCAGCCATTTATTGTAACTATGCAAGATGGACAGCAAGGTGAGTTATCTCTGATTATTAAAAGATATTTTAGCTGAGTATGGTGGCGTACACCTGTAATCCCAACAGCTCTGGAAGATGAGGCAGGAGGATCTCAAAAAAAGGCAGCTTCAGCAACTTATCAAGGCTGTAAGCAACTTACCTAGACCCTGTCTCAAAATAAAATAAAACATAAGAAGGGTTGGGGATATAGCTCAGTGGCTAAGCACCCCTGGGTTTAATCCCTGGTACAAAAAAACAAAAAGATATTCTAGACACTCCACACCACACTCCCCTAAAACGGAGGCATTAAGACAAATAGTGGAAATGGAAGAATGCTAGATAAAAGATGAAACAGGGCTGGGGATGTGGCTCAAGCGGTAGCGCGCTCGCCTGGCATGCGTGTGGCCCTGGTTTGATCCTCAGCACCACATACAAACAAAGATGTTGTGTCTGCTGATAACTAAAAAATAAATATTAAAATTTTCTCTCTCTCTCTCTCTCAAAAAAAAAAAAAGATGAAACAAACAAGCTTTGAAGAAGAAAAAGAAACAGAAAAAAAACTAATTCCTCTAATATATACAAAATTTGTCAGTAAAAACCAATGATCTGATACAGTAATAGAAAAAAGATCAAAGAGGGCTGGAGTTGTGGTTCAGTGGCAGAGCACTTGCCTCACACATGTGAAGGTTCGATCTTCAGCACCGATTTATAAACAAAAACACATTTTTGATAATAAAAATAAACAAAATAAAGATTTTATGTCCATGTATAACTTAAAAATATTTTTTTAAAAATTAAAAGATCAGGATTGGGGTTGTGGCTCAGTGGCAGAGCCACTGGGTTCGATCCTCAGCACCACATAAAATAAATAAATAAATATACTGTGTCCATCCACAACTAAAAAAAATTGAAAAAAAAATTAAAAGATCAAATAGTGTGAACTAATAGTTCACAGAAAATACTGATGCCTCGTTTGAAAACTTGAAAATAGGGGCTGGGAAAACGAACAATCTGTGAGGTGAATAAGCCTACATCTTGGGAGCAAATCTTTGCCCCTCACACATCAGACAGAGCACTAATCACTAGGGTATATAAAGAACTCAAAAAGCTAAACACCAAAAAAACAAATAACCCAATCAATAAATGGGCCAAGGACCTGAACAGACACTTCTCAGAAGATGATGTACAATCAATCAACAAATATATGAAAAAATGTTCATCATTACTAGCAATTAGAGAAACGCAAATTAAAACCACTCTAAGATTTCATCTCACTCCAGTCAGAATGGCAGCTATTATGAATACAAACCACAATAAGTGTTGGCGAGGATGGGGGGGTGGGAGGCACACTTATACACTGCTGGTGGGACTGCAAATTGGTGCATCCAATATGGAAAGCAGTATGAAGATTACTTGGAAAATTGGGAATGGAACCACCATTTGACCCAGCTGTCTCTCTCCTCGATCTATACCAAAGGACTTAAAAACAACATACTAAAAGGACACAGACACATCAATGTTTATAGCAGCACAATTCACAATAGCTAAACTGTGGAACCAACCTAGATGCCCCTCAGTAGATGAATGGATAAAAATAATGTGGCATATATACACGATGGAATATTACTCAGCAATAAAAGAGAATAAAATCATGGCATTTGCAGGCAAATGGATGGAGTTGGAGGGTATAATGCTAAGTGAAGTTAGCCAATCCTAAAAAAACAAATGCCAAATGTTTTCTTTGATATAAGGAGGCTGATTCATAGTGGGATAGGGAGCAGGAGCATGGGAGGAACAGATGAACTCTAGATAGGGCAGAGGGGTTGGAGGGGAAGGGAGGGGGCATGGGGTAATTAATGATGGTGGAATGTGATGATAATTATTATTCAAAATACAGGTATGAAGACACGAATTGTTAGTATACTATGTATACAACCAGAGATATGAAAAATTGTGCTCTCTATATGTAATAAGAATTATGCATTCTGCTGTCATATATAAATGAAAAAAAATGGGGCTGGGGATGTGGCTCAAGCGGTAGCGCGCTCGCCTAGCATGCGTGCGGCCCAGGTTCGATCCTCAGCACCACATACAAAGATGTTGTGTCCGCCAAATACTAAAAAATACATATTAAAATTCTCTCTTTCCCTCTCTCTCACTCTTTCTTTAAAAAAAAAAGAAAAGAAAAGAAAATGGGGGCTGGGGTTGTGTCTCAGTGGTAGAGCGCTTGCCTAGCATGTGTGAGGCACTGGGTTCGACTCTCAACACTGCATATAAATAAATAAGGTAAAGGTTCATTGACAACTAAAAAATAAATAAATAAAAAAAAATGAAAATGTTCAACCTGCTTCACTGAACAAGAAATGCAAAGAAATATTGTACTGAGATCCCATGATAACACTAAACTATCAAGAGTATAGACGAACAGGCACTCTTGTAAATCACTTGTAAGATTTTGCATTAATCTATCCTCTAAAGAGCAAATTAGCAGTATCTCTCAGAATTAAAGATGCAAGCAGTGCACAATGGTACATGCCTGTAATCCGGGCCACCTGTCTCAAACTGAAAAATTAAAAAGGGCTGGGGATGTAGCTCAGTGGTAAAGTATCCCTGGGTTCAATCCCCAGTTATGCCCCCCCCAAAATGCATATACCTTTTGATTAAGCAGTTATTTTTCAATTAATTTATATTTAAACGCACAGAAATGACTTATATACTGTTATGCATTATGGTATTATTTTTGTAATTGTTAAACATTAAAAGGAGCCTAATAGGTGCATGCCTATAATCCCAGCCTCTTAGGAGGCTGAGGCAAGAGGATTACAGGTTCAAGGCCAGCTCTAGCAATGTAGTGAGAGCCTGTCTCAAAATAAAAGATCTTGGAATGTAGCTCAATGGAAAAGTTCTTGCCTAGTACTAGTATCCTTAAGCCCCTGGGTTCAGTCCGCAGTACCACATATACACACACACATACACCACTGTCAAGTAATAAGTATAAGATTTAGGATAGTGTGTAGAGTGTGCTATTTTTGTATTTTCAAATGGGGAAATATATGTAAATTTAGACTTAGAATGCCTCTAGAAAGAAATTGCTTCCTAAGGGTGAAAAATAAATAATTAAAATCAAAGAAATTGCTTCCTTCTGGGAAGGATTACTGGATAGCTGGGGATGGGTAGAAGTTTTTCAACATGTTTCTATGACTTTTACTTTTTTTTAATTTAAAAAATATTTTTGGTACTGGGGGTTGAATCCAGGGGCTCTCAACTACAGAGTTACATCTGCAGCCTTTTTTATATTTATTTTTTTGAGACAAGATCTCACTCAGTTGCTAAGGCTAGCTTTGAATTTGCTATCCTCCTGCCTCAGCCTCCCCAGTTGCTGGGATTACTGTGTGCACCACTGTGTCTGCTCTCTTGTTTTTTTAATTTTATGTTTTGGTGGTGCTGGGCATTAAACCCAGGGCCTTATGCCCGCCAGGCAAGTGCTCTACCATACATCTGTACCCCTAGCCCTAAATTTTTTTTTGAAATCTGAGCACTGTGGCCTCCACCTGAAGTCCTAACTACTTAACAGGCTGAAGCAGAAAGATTGTGGTCAGTTTGAGGTCAGTGTAGGCAACATAGTGAGACATAATAAACAGCCATATTAAAAAATTACTTTTTCCCTGGGTTTGATATCCGGCAATGAAAAAAAAAATCATTTTTGGCCAGGTGTGGTGATACATGCCTATAATCCCAACTACTCAGGAGGCTGAGACAGGAGTATTTCAAGTTTGAGGGCAGCCTAACCCTGTCTCAAAATAAAATAAAGGGCTGAGGATATTGCTCAGTGGTAGAGCCCTTGCCTAGCATGTGTGTGTGGCAATGGATTTGATTTCCAGCACTGAAAAAAATTTTCTTTGAAAGAAAAAGAAGCCAATCATTACAACTACATTTCTTAAAAATATTGGAAGTTGAAAAGCACAGCCTTGGTATAATTGCCTTTATTGTCACCAAAATTTTGACTTGGTCTAAATGATTTTGGGAATTTTTAAATTTTCAAATTATTTGAATTGTTGGATCTCTGTGTTATAGGAAGATAGCATAGGAATTAAACCCTTATAATTCAAATTTTGATATAAATTCTTTTTTAAAAAATTTTTTGCAGTACTGGGAACTGAACCTAGGGCCCTACACAATGCTATGCAAGCACTCTACTATAGAACTACATCCCTAGCCCCTTTTTTAATAACTTTTAAGACAAGGTCTAGCTAAGTTGCTGAGGCTGGCCTTGAACTTGAATTCTTCCTGCCTCAGCCTCCAGAGTAGCTGAGAGCCTTGTGCCCCATGATATCATGAATTCTTATTTATACAATACTAGTATACTAGTGTTTTGTGAATGTAGTTATTAAGGGGTTTTTTTTAAACTCTAATTTTTTTTTTTTTATATTGGTGCCTTACATATAGTTAGACAAAATAAAGTCAGGCATGTGGCGCACATTTGTAATCTCAGCAATTTGAAAGGCTAAGACAGGAGGAGCACAAGTTTGAAGCCAGCTTCAGCAACTTAGCAAGACCCTCAGCAATGTATTTTTTTTTTTTAATTTTTTATTGTTGGCTGTTAGCAATGTATTTATTTATTTAAAATTTTAAATTTGTAGATGGGCACAGTAACTTTATTTTATTTATTTTTATGTGGTGCTGAGGATCAAACCCAGTGCCTCACAGGTACTAGACAAGCACTGTACTACTGAGCTATAACTGCAACCACTACCCACAGCAATTTAGATAGATCCTGTCTCAAAAAAATACAAAGGACTGCTGAGCATGTTGGCACACTCCAGTAATTCCAGTAACTTGGGATGCTGAGGGAGGCAGGAGGATTGCAAGTTCAAAACCAGCCTTAGTGGGGTGGGGGGACTGGGGTTGTGGCTCAGCGGTAAGGTGCTCACCTAGCACGTGTGAGGCCCTGGGTTCTATCCTCAGCACCACATAAAAATAAATATATAAGTAAAGGTATTAGGTCCAACTACAACTAAAAAATAAATATTAAAAAAAAAACAGCCTTAAGCATCCTTATTTGATAATGCTTCCTTGTAATTTAGGTCTAATATGTCGCTTTTAGACTTCCAGTACTCCTGGAAATCCCAAGGTTAGTTTTTGTTCAGAAAGGCTTCATTTTGAAATTTGATTTTGGAAACTGCTAAACACATCAAAAAGTTTTAAAACAGCCTGTGGATACAGCTCAGTTGGTAGAATGCTTGCCTCGCATGCACAAAGCCCTGTCTTCAATCCCCAGCACCACACACAAAAAAAGTTTTAAAGCAATCAAAATAGGATCACAGATTATTATGAAATAAAACCAAAGTGACAGGGCTGGGGTGATGGCTCAGTAGTAGAGCGCTTGCTTAGCATGTGTGAGGTACTGGGTTCGATTCTCAGCACCTCATAAAATAAAGGTCCATTGACAACTAAAAAATATTTTTTAAAAAATCAGAGAGACAAGGGCTGGGGATGTGGCTCAAGTGGTAGCGTACTCGCCAGCCATGCGTGAGGCACTGGGTTCGATCCTCAGCACCACATAAAGTTAAATAAGTGAAATAAAGGTATCGTATTCAACTACAACTAAAAAATAAATATTAAAAAAAATCAGAGAGACAAAAGATATTAAAGACAAACAGAAAAGCCACATAGCTATAGAAAGACCTCAATTTTTTCAAGACTCATTTTTCTAAAAGCCAGACCCAATAAAAACAGCACAAAGCACATAGATCAATTTTTTTTTCTCACTTGCTCCCTTCTTCTTTTAACTTCCTTCAAAGGTGGCTAAAACCTTTTACTATCTTTTGTGAATTACTTGAAAATCTTGCTTAAAAGAGGATAGCAAAATTTACTCTTGTATCGGTGTACTATTAATTAAAAATCTAATTTTAATAGAACCTTATAAATAAATAGCTTGATCATGCAAAAAACAAACAAACAAACAAACAAAAAAAAAGCCTTGGGCTGGGGATGTGGCTCAAGCGGTAGCGCGCTCGCCTGGCATGCGTGCGGCCCGGGTTCGATCCTCAGCACCACATACAAACAAAGATGTTGTGCCTGCCGAAAGCTAAAAAAAAAAAAAAATAAATAAATATTTAAAAAAAAAAAAAAAAAGCCTTAGCAGTTTAGTAAGGCTCTAAGCAACTTAGGAAGGCCCTGTTTCAAAATAATAAATTAAAAAAAGGACTGGGGATATGACTCAGTGGTTAAGTGCCCCTGAGTTCAATCAGGTATTTAAAAAAAAAAATAGCTAAATAAAGAAGGTTGGGGTTGTAACTTAGTGGTAAAGCACACGTGAGTTCAATGTCCAGTACCAAAAAAAAAAAAAGGTGTTTTTTTTTTTTGGTATTAGTGATTGAGCCCATGGATTGAACTCATGTTGCTCACTAGTCACTGAGTGACATCACCAGCTGTTTTTATATTTTATTTTAAGATAGGGTCTTACTAAATTGTTTAGGTCCCTGCTAAGTTGCTGAGGCTGGCTATGAAGTTGTGACCCTCTTGCCTCAGCCTCCTAAATCGCTGAGATAGGCATGTGTCAATGCACCTGGCCAAAAAAAATTTATTTTGAGTTATAAAAGTTATTTAAAAATAACTTTTGGGGGGGCTGGGGATGTGGCTCAAGCGGTAGCGCGCTCGCCTGGCATGCGTGCGGCCCGGGTTCGATCCTCAGCACTGCATACAAACAAAAATGTTGTGTCCACCGAAAACTAAAAAATAAATATTAAAAATTCTCTCTCTCTCTCTCTCTCTCTCTCTCTCTCTCTCAAAATAAATAAATAAATAACTTAATTAATTAATTAATTAACTTTTTATTTTGAAACCATCATAAGATTCATGTATCATTCTAAAAAATACTATGGAGAAATCTATATCCTCAACGAGTTTCTCTTCAATGGTATCAGTTTGCCTAACTATATTATAATTTCACAAGAAAGTTGATATATTTTTTTAAATTATTTTTTAGTTGTAGATGGACATAATACCTTTATTTTATTTACTTTTATATGGTGCCGAGGATTGAACCCTGGGCCTCGCACGTGCTAGGCGAGGACTTTACCACTGATCCATAACCCCAGCTCCAAGAAAGTTGATATTGTTATAATTCACTGACCTTTCCAGTTTTACATGCATTCTTGTATATGTATGTGCACTTAGTTCTGTGTGATTTTAATATATGTGTACATTTGTACAAGAGCCACCAGAGTGAAGGTACAGTACAGTTCCATCACTGGATCCCTGTGATACCCTTATATCCACAGCCACCTCCCTTCCCATTCTGTTCTAACCCTTAGCAACCACTAACTATTCTGTTCTCTCTCTATGATTTTTTTGTCTTTTCAATAACCCGATGTGGTGGTAACAGCTATAATCCTAGGGACTCGGGAGGCCAAGGCAGGAGAATGGCAAGTTCAAGGCCAGCCTCAGCAACTTAATGAGACCCTCAATGACTTATCTAGACCTTGTCTCAAAATAAAAAGGGTTGGTATATAACTCAGTGGTGAAATACTCCTGGGCTCAATACCCAGTACCAAAAAAAAAAAAAAAAAAAAAAGTTATAGGGCTTGGGATATACCTCATATAGCCCAGTAGTAAGATGCTTGTCTAGCATGTATGAGGCCCTGGGTTTGATCCCTAGCAACACACACACACAAAAAAAAAAAAAAAAAAAAAAAAAAAAGTTATATAAATGTGGCTTGGGGATGCAGCTCAGTGATAGAGTATTTATTTGCCCAGCATATGTGATGCAAGGCCCTGAATTTGATCACTAGTCTCTCTCACACACACACACACACACACACACACCCCATTTAAATAAATAGAATCATGTAGTAGGTAACCTTTTGAGAATTGCCTTTTTACTCCCAGTATAATTAATTTTCTTAAGATCCATCCATGTTATTTGTATCAATAGTTTATTCCTTTTTATTGCTGAGTACAATAAATATCATGGTACATCCATACTGTGCTATGGTATACCCAAGCTATTATGTTGTGGTACATCCATATTTTTACCTGTTGAGGATACTTGAAAATACTTTTCAGTTTTCAGCTATCAAAGAATAATGCTTGGGCTGGGGATGTGGCTCAAGCGGTAGCGCGCTCGCCTGGCATGCGTGCGGCCCGGGTTCGAACCTCAGCACCACGTACAAACAAAGATGTTGTGTCCGCCGAAAAACTAAAAATAAATAAATAAATTCTCTCTCTCTCTCTCTCTCTGTCTCTCCTTAAAAAAAAAAAAATAATAATGCTTTTATGCGTAATCATGTACAGATTTTTTTTTTCCCTTGGTACTAGGTATTTATCCCAGGGGCAATTTACCATTGATGAGCCCTTATTATTTTTTTATTTTGAGCTAGGGGCTCACTGAATAGCTTAGGGCCTGCTAAATTGTTGAGGTTGACGTTGAAGTGTTGATTCTTTGTCTCAGCATCTGGAGCAGCTGGGATTACAAGCATGCTGCCATCAAGCCCAATTCTCATACAAGTTCTTATATGACATGAATTCTCAAATTGGGGGAGTAAATGCCCAAGAGTGTAATTGTTGGGTCATATGGTAAGTACATACTTAGTTTTGTAAGAAACTGCTAGTTATTTTCTAGGTGTGACATTTTACATCCCTGCTAGCAATTTATGAACAATCTAGTTCCCTACATTCTCTAGTATTTGGTATTATCGCATTTTTAATTTTAGCCATTCTTATAGGTATGTAAAGCATGTCTTATGCATGTCAACTTTTCTCTCTCTTTTACAAGTTTTTCTCTAAAACTTTTGTATGTTTTATGCATGTCAACTTTTCTCTCACTTATCTATGGGAAGAGAAATAACTATTTCAGGTATAATGGTGAATTGCTTTCATTAGAAGTTTCTGGGGCTGGCATTTTGGCTCAGCGGTAGAGCACTCACCTAGCACGTGTGAGGCCCTGGGTTTGATCCTCAGCACCACATAAAAATAAAGATATTGTGTTCAACTACAACTAAAAACTAAATATTTTTTTTAAAAAAAGAAGTTTCTCAATAATTGTATATAAGGATTTCTGACTTTTTAAATTTTTATTGGTTCTGGAGACTGAACCCAGGGTCTCATGCATACTGAGTGTATGTTTTATCCCTGAGCTATACCACCAGCATCCTGGCCTTCTTTAGACAGATTATTCCCATAGAAATCATAAACTGGATGGTCATAGCTACTAAACTAGAGTCAAATATCTTTTTTTTTTTCCTACCAAAGATTTAATCCCAGGGTGTTCAACCACTGAGCACTTCTCCAGCCCTTTTTTATATTTTATTTAGAGACTAGGTCTCACTAAGATGCCTAGGGACTCACTGAGTTGCTGAGGCTGGCTTTGAACTTGCGATCCTCTTGCCTCAGCCTCCTGAGCTGCTGGGATTACAGGCCTGTGCCACTGCACCCTGCTGGAGTCAAATCTCTTTATGTAAGAGCCTCAAACCTGGGATTTACCTGTGTGGTTTCTGGGCTTAAAAATCTATACCTTCCTGAGCCTTGCTTAGTCCTTCCTTAATCCTGTTTCTCTCTGCAGGGCCATGCCTTATCTTTTGATTGTAAATCTAAAGAGATATAAAAAACAATACGTCACAGAATGTATTTCACTTTGTTTTCTAGTTAAAAGGAAGCAAAACCTGCCAGGTGTGGTGGCACACACCTATAATCCCAGTAGCTCTCAGGAGGCAGAGGCAGGAGCCTGATTGCAGGTTCAAAGACAGTCTCAACAACTTAGTGAGGCTGTAAGCAACCTAGTGAGACCCTGTCTTAAAATAAAAAATAAAAAGGGCTGGGATGTGACTTAGTGGTTGAACACCCCTGAGTTCAATATTCAATACAAAAAAAAAAATTGGTACAAAAAAGCAAGCAAAGCCTCTTTGTTTTACTGTGTATTCATCCCCTCCAATTGGTGTTCTTTGGCTTATAGTTCTAACTGTACCTGCTGGTCAGGTTGCAGAAGAGACTGTAATTGAAGAGGAAGAGGAAGAAGAAGTAGAGAAGTTGCCACTGGCAAAGAAACCAAGGATAGAAGAGATGGCAAACAGTATGGAGGAAGGCGAGGTAATGTGATTTTTAGCCATGATGGAGAGAAGAAAAAGGAAAGAATCAGAAGGTGTAATATTGAAGCCTGAACCCTTCTTCATCTTTTTGTCTACTTTCTGGATAATCTGTGATCTGGAATTCTTACCTGGTGGTGATATGGTTTACTTTACAGGAAGGCAGAGAAAGAGAGTTACTACAGCAGCAACTCCAGGAGGCCAATCGCAGAGCCCAGGAATATCGACACCAGCTCCTAAAGAAAGAGCAGGAGGCAGAACAGTACCGCCTCAAACTGGAGGCTATGGCCCGGCAGCAGCCCAATGGAGTTGAGTTCACCATGGTGGAAGAGGTAGCTGAGATAGATGCCGTAGTAGTCACAGAGGGGGAGGTGGAAGAAAGAGAAACACAAGTGTCTAGGTCAGGGGGGACCACAGAGCCTCATACTGGAGTTTCCATGGAAACTGTTTCATCTTAACATATAAGGGCCACAACTTGCCCTGTGTTCATCTTTTAAGAAGAAAATACAGAGCACAAACATTGTATTAAAATTAAGGATGTCCTTAACAAGAAAACTATGGCAGGGTACAATGCTTGGGCCCAGGAAAACTGTATGCAACTGGAAAATTCGAAGCTGTATTTAGGGAATGCTTCTCCTGGGGAGCCAAGAGAGAATAAGGACCAAGTTTCTCAGCTCACATTGTTGCTTTAAGCGTACAGGTAAAAGTGATAGATGTTGTACGTTGATTTTTTTTTTTTTTAATAACTGACTTTGTATCAAAAGATTTTAAGATAATACTCCTAATGCATATACACCAAAAGCCTTTAGTAATTATACCATCAAGTGACCTGAAAATTTGCCTTAAATTTATAAAACTAATTAGGAGGGAATTTAGAAGCAAGCTTTGGGGAAGAGGAAAGGAATATATTCCACTTCCAAAGGAGCAGGCACTCCCATCTATCCTGAGTTAATATCACTAGAAAAAAATTTTTTAATTGCTTGATAAATTTGTGTCCATAGCTCAGATGCCAGTGTAAGAAACTGAAACTGCTAGGGATATAGATATAGCTCAGTGGTAGAACAGGTCCCTAGCATGCCCCAAGTCCTGGATTCATCCCCAGCACCACAAAGAAAGGATGAGAAAAAAAGAATGAAACTGAAATTGAATTTTTAAAAACTGGAAAGGAAACTTGTATGTGTAGAAGTTTACATAATACCTGAATTCCCCAGTCTGTATTTTGAGTGCTGGTAGGTGGCCTAAAAGAGGCTGGCAGGGTTATGGAACTCTTGTCTTGGGATACTAACTTTGCACTGGCTGGATTTTATAAAATTGCAATCAGGAGGGTAATCTGTTGTCCATACAACTTGCTTCCAAACATTATTTATGTAATATCAGGCTCAGACTCTAATTTTATAAAACTTTGTTGAATTTGTGTCACTTAGGACACATTTGCTTTTCTGTGGAGCTTATGTCCTCTTAAGTGCAAAACAAAGGAGGGTGGCAAAGAGCAATGCTGATGATGTATAGTTTGTTTCCATTTGATTTAGGATGAGTCAGCTGCTGTTTTTGTAAGCCTGGACCTGCTACAGAGCTTTGTGCCTTACAGGTGTTCAGTGTATGCTGACAAGGGAATAACTATCAGTGCCATAAATTACGGAACCAAAGTTTCTGTCCTGTTTACTTTCCTCCCTTTTCTCCCACTATGCCTGCTCCTGCTGCCCAGAGACTTTGGAAAGTGTCTCATTGCTGGGTTTTCTTTGTGTGTCATCATGCAGTTTTTTCAAAAGAAAAAGGGTGGTGTGGTGGCGCATGCCTATAATCTCAGCGGCTTGGGAGGCTGAGACGGGAGAATCACAAGTTCAAAGCCAGCCTCAGCAACTGCGAGGCACTAAGCAACTCAGTGAGACCCTGCCTCTAATAAAATACAAAATAGGGCTGGGGATGTGGCTCAGTGGCTAAGTGCCCCTGAGTTCAATCCCCAGTATTTAAAAAAAAAAAAAAAAGAGGGTGTATGGATGGAGAGAGAGAAAGGGAGGGACGAAGAAAGAGGGAGGGAGAGGTTGTGGAGAGGTTACATTGCAGAGGTTATTGCCTTTGAAATTGGGCTCTCATTATTCTAGACTTGCTTGCTTTATTGTAAATTATTAGAAGAAGAAACCAGAGGGGGGAGATGTGCCAAGTAAACATTTGAATGACTGTTTAGAATATGGTTTTCTCAATTAATGATCATGGGGAAAACATGCATTTTTAATTTGGAAAAAAACTTGACAGTTAACATGGTTCTGTTTACCTTGATTAGTAAAGTAAATTGCTACAGTGTTCTGAAGATGCAGAATCATTTTGAGCTCAAAATAGACTGAAAATATAATTCCCCAAACTAAATTTAAAAAACAGAATTGGCTATTAGACATTTATAAGCAAAATACCAGTTTTGAAATTAACCTTGGCTATTGGCCACTAGCTAGGTTTTCTCCATGTATCGTTGTATCTAGCACTTCCCAGATGATCACAGATTATTCTTGGCTGTTGGGGATGACAGGGATATGAAGTGGAGAAGCCTAGGTAAAGTTAAGGATGAAATTTTAGTATCTACTGTCATATCATCCTTGTCCTGTTTGCATGTTTTTCTTTTTTTTCTGAGTCCTTTTGGGAACCAGGTACTAACAATAAACTGCTCTATGGCATTTCAGAGTCTTAGCTTAAGTAAGTATAGAGGGACCAAGTACCATTTTAGATATCTTTTGTTTATGTTTTGGTGCTGTTCCCCCCATTGAGGGAGTAGAGAGAGGTTAGCTGCAAAAATTATCTAAACCTAGTCAGTTGTGGTGGCACACATCTTTAATCCCAGCAACTGGGGAGACTGAGGCAGTGGGATCACAAGTTTGAGGCCAGCCTGGGGAATTTAATAAGAACCTGTCTCAAAATTAAAAAGGTCAGAGGGTATAGCTCAGTGATAAAGCACCCCTGGATTCAATTCCAAGTACTGCAAAAAAAAAAAAAAAAAAAAAAAAAAAAATTAAAATTGAAACTTTACTTTGTTCTCTGGGCTATTTACTGATTGGTAGTAGGGAATATCCACCTAGCACTCTTTTCTGAGCATAGAGAGTCCCACTTTGGGGGGGAACTGTTTAGGAATTCTTATTACTCTTTCTGAGGAATATATCTTCCACTCCTCTCCCAAAGTCTCTAATACAAACAGGTTATTTTCTTATTGGAGAGGCTGGAGTAGGGAGTGAAAGAAGGGAAATGTCTGTAAAGGGGTGGAGAGGAAAAAGGTATTAATTTTTATTTACTTGGAATAGACCTTTTAGCATGCCCTAGAGGGGAAATAGGATTTGGTCTACAGTTATACTGCCATGAAGAGAATGGTAGCTCAGGATGCTTTGTAGAATCAGAAGTTCGGCATTGAATGCAGTACTACAATACCATGTCTGAATTTTTCATATCTTTCTGGGTCAGTCATGGAAGTTAGGAAAATGTGGGTTAGGTCTTCTGAGTTAGGGGATTACAATTAGTTTACTGGCAAGGTTGGATTATTGAGAACTAAGGTGGTTCAGAGTTGGTCCTTGAGCAGGAGAAACTTGGAGTTTAGGATAGTTCTCTACATTAAAATGAAGCTGCTTTAATTGTATCAGTATTAAAGTCAAGAATTTTAGAACCTACATTTGCATTTTGGTCTTAAACCTTTTTCCAAAGCTTCAGGGAAATTAATTATAAACATATAAATATGCATTTTGCTTCCCACTACTACCTCTGTGGGATCTCTTAATTGTAATGCCAGAGTTGAGATCCCTTGACTGAAATACTGAAAAACATGGCTTTAGGATTTTCTGTGTTTTGAACTCAGTCCTTAAAGATGTTTTTTTCTCTTGTCAGATATACATTTAGCTATTTACTTTGCATTCTTTCTTCTTCAGCCTTACTATTGCATAATTAAAATTTTTGCTTGTTTTGTGATGCTAGAAATCTCTGTATACAAAATGATTTCTTTCTTTATATTAATGTAAAAGAAATTAATTTCTCAGAGGTCCCTCCATTTGAAGTTGGGTATTGTATGATGAGGATAGTTTCTGAACCCCTTTGCTGGTATACGTTAGTGTGTATGTTTATAAATATGTATTTTCCCATTTTCTCTTCGTTTATTTGAGGTTCTGCTCTAAAGCACCAGGTGTAACCTGGAAAACTTTTTATTCATTAAACACATAGGGTTTCTTTGGGTTCAGTGAATGCACGGAGGAAGAGAAAGCATTACTTTGCCTGCTTCTGAGAGATGTGCTTTAATAGGCAAAAAGAGAAACCAGAGGGGTGAGGCTTCGGGAGAGCCAGCGCCTGGCTTTAAAGGGAATTTGTTCAGCAGACAGTGTGATGACATCGTGTATGTGAAAGGTTCAGAGCTGAGTAGGGACAGAAATGGAGCTGCCCCTTCACCAGACAGGCCTCCTTTCACTCTTGTGGAAGCTGTTTTGACTGACATTTATAAAATCTCATCCCTCAGTGGGGAAAAACCTCACCAGATAGAGAGCCAAGGCAGCATGGCAGAAGGAAGATATTCCCTACATCCATTTTCCTAGTTTAGAAATCTTATTTTGAGAAATGATCTTCATTTTGAGAAAGCTTGTGTGGCTCTTTCCTAACAACATTAGGGACCTCCAGAGCTAGAAGACCTGAGGCATGTAATGAACTCCTAGAAATTTAATAATGACTGGGAATCAGTTTTTGTCCTAATTTATTAGAGAATGGCTTCCTATTCTCCACTCCGGTCCAGACCCAACTCTGGATGACTGGGAAAGGAACTTTAAAATGGAATGCATGTCAAGCCCACCTGTACGTATGTACTCTAGGCTTCTGTCCATCTCCATTTTATGTGATGATTCTTTCCCCCTTCTGAGTTAGTAGTTATTTCCTATGCCAATTTATTTACCAAGACAGCAGGAACAAGAAAGGCATGAATTAGAATTAAATAACTTTGAGCCTCTGGTGCAACCCTTTTTAATTAAAAAAAAAATTTTTTTTAACCTCTCTAGGACTAGGGAATAGAGTGACATTCCTAGACTCTTACAGTAGCAATTTGGTTTGTTAATAGCAGGAAATTGTGATTCCCTATCTCTCTCTCTCTCCCTTCCTCTGCCCCCACTCTACTGCTTCTGCTTTTGTGATTCATTGTTTTTATCTCATTAAGTCTTTCTAAGGCACTAGAACTTAATTAGTAGGTCATTTTAAATCCTTGGGCCTTATCTTTTCTCTCTCCACTCCCCTCCCTACCATATATTTTGTTTATTCTGATGCAGTTTGTTTCTGATAATTAATCTAGGTCACACCCTCTATTTAACTGTGCTTTCCCAGTTGGTTTCAGGCATGTTGCTCTATCAATAATGATGGTAACAACTCTTTCCTGGCTTTGCCCCACATGCTTTCCTCTGCCAAGGCCATTTGGTGGGGGGCAGCAGGGAGGAGTGCCCCTACATTCTGTTCACAATGTCCTCAGTTTTTCAGGTTGTCTGACAGCTTTATGTACAGCATGTTTTTAGGAAAACTTAAATATCCTACTTTTTTAAATTTAGGATAGAGTTTGATTCTGATGAGGAAGTCTGTATGTCTGTGTGTATGAGCATTTATGTATGTGTATGTATATATATATATATATATATATATATATATATATATATACCTATACAGATCTATATTATATATACAATTTTTGTACTATCATTTAAAATAAAGATGTTTCTTAATAAAATGTCAAAGTCTTACCATTTCGAGTATCATTGAATAGCTTTTTTTTTAATCTCTTAGGCAAAAATTATATCTAGTCTCTGATTCTGTTGATACCCATAACTAGCTATCTGTCTCAGCCTGGTGTTCTTGACAGGCTGAGCAACTCAAGGCAAGAAGAGAAATGAGAAAAAAGAAAGCTTTTGACTGGCCTTGTTAAATGTACATTTTTCCTTCCTCCACTTTTCCCTCAACCCTTTCTCTAAAAGCAAACTACCAAGAGGGGAGAATAGGAGCTAAAGGAAATTATTCTGTGTCTTGTGTGGGAGTCAATACTGAGAAGTAGGGGAAAAAAACTATAGGCTCAGGGAGGCTTGGAAAGAGTGTGTTTGCTCTACTGGCTTCTCAGCTTCTGTTATTTCCTGTGTTTGCTGCCTCAGTCCTAATGAGCACACATTTATTAGGTAAATACAAGGAACAGTCTGGTAATAGTAGCTCAAGCCCCATTGATAGCCACAGTAGAACAAACTTATTTGGCTAGCTAACAGGTGTCCCCATGTAGTGTATAGGGCTCTCAAGTGTCACTCCAATGGCAATCAGGTTACCTTTCTTTTTAAAAGGAGGATGACACCAAATTCAAGGACATACTAACATCTGCATTCAACAACTAGAATCTCCAGGCAAACTCTCAAAGTCGGTATTTAGGAAATTGAACACCTGCATATGCTAGGCTACGTGGTGATAATTGGCTTTTGGTAAATACGTATAGTCAACAAATACTGTGCATATATTAATTATGATTTCCTTCTGACAAGTGCCTCATAAATGTACATTAGGTCTTTGCTGTGCTGAAGGAAAAAGAGCAGGAACTTGAAGAGCCTTGAGAAGCAAATAACTAAGAGTAGTTTCAAATTAAAATCCTGGTGAGAGAGATCATCAGGAAGACAGGAAA